CAATTCCCACACTGTGTCCCTGGTGTTGTCCCTCGTAGGGCCATGGGCCAGTGAGGAGCATCTCATCTCATAGTGGGGTTGGCCATGTGGTCCAAGAGAGAACATTTAGAACTTCTGTCCAGAGATGGTATCCCTCTGCACTCTCTCTGGCCCCAAAAGGGGCACCTTTTTGTAACAAGAACAAAGGTGCCCTCAGCATCAAAGTGGCCCTGAACATTGTCTTACTCAGTCACAGGACTTGAAGAAAAGTAATCATTTCTGACTTCTCCATCTCTACTGCCTCTTACAATTAACTGTTGTAAAATTATATTGCTTTTTGTCTCTTTAATATATTTTGCATCTGTGTTTTCCTCTTCATACCCATTAAAGCCAAACTCACTGCCAAACTCAATTCCAACTCATAGTGATTGTGATACTTAATGTTTATTGTGCCAACCTGGCCAATAACACATGTGGGATTAATTAAAGGGCAGTTTAATTGAAGGACGGAGAGATAAATGGCTCAGTGAGCCTTTCCTGTCTGGTCCCTTGCTCTGTGATGGTCGGACCAGGTGCAGCTGCCTTAGTTATTTCTCTGCCTCAGCTGTGAGACATCCCTGAGGAGAAGCCACATGGACCTACCCCGATGCAGCCCTGGGTGCTGGAGCACCCATGTGGAGACCCCTGCCAGCGCTGAGATGCTTACATGCTCACTAATTCGGCTTTCCTCCTGCATTCGGCATCATTGTGTGTGTTTTGTGAGTTTGAGGAGGACTTTGTAAATTGATCTCAGACATATGGTCTAATGTCGGACTTATGGGCTTGGACTGAACTGGGTTGGGATGCTTAATGTACAATTACCCTTTATATAAAACTCTCTCTTATAAAATAAGTATGTTTATGAATTTTGTTTCTCTACCCAGACTAACACAGGTTTATTGTCACATCCAAGCTAGGTTGAACTTATTTGTCCATGACTCTCAGGGTGCTTATCTCCCACTGCAATAGTCAAGTTGACCCTGAGTCATGATGACCCATCTGTGTCAGAATAGAACTGTGCTCTATAGGAGTTTGAATGGCTGATTTTCTCAGAAGTAGATCATTAAGTTGTTCCAGGGCATCTCTGGGTGGCCTAGAACCTCCAACCTCATGGTGACCAGCTAAATGAATGGTCCTTTTGCACCACCCAGGAACTCTGTCTTGTACTGAGTCCACTCTAAATTATAATTATAATCATGCACACAAGCCATTTTTATTATCAGAACACTTAGTAGCCTGAGGTTCTGGGGTGATAGCTTAGTCAACATTAATTATCTCAGTGTTCGGCACAATATGAGGGTAAGTAAAAAGGCCCTGTTCTCCATCAAGCTCTGCACTTCAGAAGATGTTTCTATTTCTTACCCTTCTATGCAGTGTTAAGTAAGCATTGCAGGGCTAAGGTCACGGTTTAAATTCACTAGCCACTCCATGGAAGAAAGCTAAGACTGTCTGTTCCTGTCAAGGTTTACAGCCTCTAACATCCTGTATAGGCTCACTATGCAGTGGATATTTGGGGTTAACCATTCCCTGAGGAATTCTGCTCTCTTTACTTCACACCACATCAAAGTGGGAGCCTTGGCATCCTCGAGCGATTAACAATCTTCTTCTATGAAATTGTCTTTGAGCTCTGTAGGCAGAAAGAAATCTGAAAAGGCAAGATCAGGGATGTAGGGTAGATGGCGTTGGGGTTCTCAGTGAAATTCCATAGGACAGCCCTTGCTGCCATCCAAGAGTGAATAGGCGCATTGTCAGAAAAAATTTCCTCAGTGCAGCTTTCTGGCTCCCCCCCACCCCTCACTAATGTGGTTTTTAATTTTCTTAAATCTTCTTGATAATACGTCCTCATGATTGTGTTGGGTCCTTCTAGAATATCGAATTACTCTTTTGGAATTGCGAAAAATAGTCAGCATAACCTTCTGAATGGGCTTCTCTGTCTTGAAATTAGCTGACTCAGCAGATCCCTGTGGAAGTCAATATTTGATTGAATCTTCTTTCCAAAAACCATAGCAACAAGACTAAGATAAGGGCAGCCACTCACTGTTTGCAGGGACATGTTCAGACATTGTGTGTTTGTAACAAACCTGGCCCTGTAAGAACTGGAACCCAAGTAGCAATGTTGTTTGACTTCCTACTTTGAAAAAAAGTAGGGAGTTTCTAAATGGAATCTATATGGATACATGTAAACCACTCAAAGTTCTATATGACTACTATTAGGGAATCAATGGTTTGAGGCTAGTTCAGGGATCACCTTGGAACTGTATTTGGCTATCAACATACACCACGCTGCCCGCCAATGTGCTCTGATGTTATCCATCAGGTGCTGTCATGTCAGTCCTTCCTGTCTCAGGGAATCTTCATGTTGCTTCTCTCATAAAGTAGAGTTGCTCAAAAGTCAATTCTGACTCATTGTGGTCCCAGGTGTTGCACAATAGAAAGGCATTCAGAGAGTTTTCATGGCTGTCAACTTTTAGAAGCTGATCACCGACCTTTTCTTCCAGGATTGGTTCAAGCTGTCAACATTTTGGCTAGTGTTGACCCCTTAACCGTTCACCCTCCAGGGACCTGGGAAGGGTGCTTTTAATTGACATTTCCAACTGGGAGACGTCAAAATCTTGTGTGTGGCTCATATGATTTCTCTTCTTTTTGTGAAATATGTCAAATTGTTTTCAACTATCAATTTTCTATTATTTTGTATCCTTAGATGTCATATATTGGGAAACATTTTGAAATACCAGGGTATGTAATAACCTGAATATATTTGCTTTTCAGACCATTTAAAAACCACTCAGACATTTATACAGGATAATACTGAATATATGTAAGTTAAAAATTATTCTTATTTATTACAATTTTATTTAATACATTAGAAAAGTTAATGATGGCCCAAAGTAATTTGATAAAATAGAGATCATACCAAAAAGTAATTATAACTCTAATCTTAAAATTCAGAGGATGTGATTGAACTGTGTAGAAGTTGTAAACTTTAGAGTCTTCACAGTTCTTGGATAATTTCCAGAGACTAGATAGACACTGAGTGCTTCTGTGAGACTTTGTGGGACACAAGTGGACTACATGCTCTTGGTGGGGACTGTTTCAGCACCATCGTTGCATTTGCTCAATATGTTCAAGAAGCAACCTTTGAGGAAGTGGAAATGTTTGCAAAAGAGATGATGGCGTTAAAAGATAAATGTGTGGCTGACATGGCACTTCCAGAATGTTCAGGATTACCTGTAAGTCAATTGCTTTTATTTTCTAAAAAACAAAATCTTGCCTTATTTCTTACTTGAGTATATGAGAAGAGCGATACCCCATGACTCCCTTTTTATTTTGCCCCACTTTGGTGTCTTAGGATAAGCACTTTCCTCAGGGGAGATGGAAAGATGCCATTCTGTATGATGAGGTTCAGAAGGATTTGCCCGTGTTCTTTCAACCCATGTGATGCATGTCCAGATCAAGGAGCCAGCCAGTAGTCTGGCAGAGCTCCCAGAAGTGAAGCAGCACTCACCTTAGCTGCCTCTCTTTTGGGGGGCACCCTCTACACAGTCCCCAGCTCTAAAAAACTAGCAGTAAGCACCATTACAAACTATTTTGCCAGTAGACTAACACATTGTCCTTGTCACCTTGGGAGATGAGGAGAAAAGCCTTCATGGAAGGGAAATGTAGGCAGCAAAGAACAGTGCAAGGTGAAGAGGCCTGAACAGAGGAGAGTATTACTGTCACGTGACAGAATTGGCAAGGGCGTGGGTAATAATGACAAAACTTAAATCACTATCTCAGGAAGTAGTGAAAATCATGATATTTCTTTTTTTTTGAAAAACATGATATTTCAATGAATAAAAAGTTTCCTTCTTTCCCCTATTGTCCAGAATGACATTTTACAGAAAAGTATATGTGCTGTGGAGGGACTGCCACAAAAATACAATTTTTCACACTGCTGCGCTAAGAGTGACCTAGAAAGAAGAGGCTGTTTCTACCTTAACAAGAAAGCTGATGTAGGATTTCTACCTCCTCTCCCGATGGCAGATGCTGAAAAGAAATGCCAGGAGTATAAACAGAAGAAAGACTTATTTCTAAAGAAGTGAGTTTAATTTTAATAGAAAATCATCTAATCGATTAATTATTCTTAGACCAAATCTAATTCTTATGCCACAGGAACATGGCTGGGTTCACTGACTGATTCATTCATTCGTTCAGGATATATTGTGTGTCAGATTCTGTGGTCAGTGTTGAGGATATAAACATGAATAAGAAGTGGACCCTGATTCCAACATCCTTCCACTAATGATTATCTATTTATCATCTATATATCTCTTTATACATATCTTCTAGTGTGACAAAGGTGTGTGTGCTGTGCCAAATTACTAGGAAGCACTGGAGAGAAAATAATATATTCTACCCAAGAGTAAGGCACAACTTTTAGAGAGGTAAACATGACATTACTGGATAGTAAGCAAAATTCTGTTTTCAGTAGTGAAGTCATTCCAAAAGTGGGGACTCCTACCCTGCGGGGAGGGTGGAATGATGATGAAACACAGAGGGGACAGCTGCTGACCCCAAGAGCAGAGGAGGCAAGGAGGGCGCCACGTTCTCATGTTCAGTGTTTTGATTAAAACTGTAATGATTACCCCTTTTGGGAGATAGTTGCTCTAGTGATAGGAACTTCAAGAGTGTTTTATTGGCACCTCAGTGATCTAGTATGGGCCCTGGTGGCACAGTGATTGCACTTGGGGCTACAAATTGCAAGTTTAGCAGTTCAAAACCACCAGTGGCTACATGAGAGAAAGACGAGGCTTTTATTCCCATAAATATTTGCAGCCTCAGAAACACACAAGGTCAGTTCCACCCTGTCCTTAGGGCTGTTATGAGTCAAAATCACTCAGGGAAGTCAGTGAGTTTGGTGTGTTGTAATGCTATCAAGAGAAAAATGGGCTTCCAACTGCCATACAGAGTTCTAGTTTCAGAAATGCACAGGGGCTGGTCTACCCTGCCCTCTAGGATTACTATGATTGGCATTGATTGGATGGCAGTGCATGAGGCTTGGTTTTCTGAGTGCTGCTGTCATAGAAAAACCACCAGTGCGTGGCTTAAACAAGCAGAAATTTGCTCCTCACAGTCTGGAGGTGGGAAGTCTGAATTCAGAGTGCTGGCTGTCAGAGAAGGCTTTCTCTCAGGTCTCGGTTTCCTTCAGCGTGGGTTCCCAGTTCCACAGCTCTCTCTCTCTCTCTGCTCGATTGTTTCATCTCTCATTTTTTTAATTTCAAAAGAGATTTGCTCTAATTATTTCTACACTAAACTTGAATCCCACCTTGTGTTGGTCAGTTTGTCATTCTGTGGTGGCTAGTGTGTTGCTTTGATGCTGGAAGACATGTCACAGAATTTCAAATGCCAGCAGGGTTACCTGAAGTAAACAGGTTTTAGCAGAGCTTCCAGATTAAGAACAAACTATGAATATGCAATTGGCTGCCCACTTCATAGGAAGTAGCTGCTGAAAAATGTATGCATAGCGTGGAAACATTGTGAGAGACTGAAGGCCTACTGAATGGAAGCAGAACATTGTTCAAGGAAGTGCCAGAAGAGCCCCTCAGTTTGGAAGTCCCTCAAAATACGACTGAGGAAGAGCTCCTTTCTCAAAACAGAGCTGACCATAATGAGTCAAGCTCCAGGAGGAAAGCCTTCCACGGCTTTCCTTTGCTGACAGGGCATGATCTCAAGAGGAGAGGAAAGAGCTGCATACATCAATTAGTAATCAGAAACTGGAATGCACGAAGCATGAGTTTAGAAAAATTGTAAGTTGTGACAAATGAAATGGAACACATCAAACTCTACATTCTAGGTATGCATGAGCTGAAATGGACTGCTATTGGCCATGTCGAATCAGAAAACCATACAGTTTTCTATGCTGGGGATGTAACAATCAAGAGGAATGGTGCTGCATTCATCACCAAAAATGACATTTCAAGATCTTTCTTCAAGTACAGTGCTGTCTGTGATAGGATTATATCTATCCACATCCAAGGAAATCTAATCAATTATTTAAATTTATGCACAAACCACAAAATCTAGTGATGAAAACATTGATGAATTCTACCAATGTCTTCAGTTGCAGGTGATCAAACATGTAATTGAAATGCATTGATAATTATTGGCCATTGGGATGCAAAAGCCGGAAACCAAGAGGAACAGGCAGCAGTTGGAATACATGCTCTTGGTGATTGCAACGAAGCTGGAGGTCACAGGATAGAATTTTGTGTGACCAGTGACTTCTTCATAGCAAATACCTACTCATTGCAAATACTTTTTCCCAACAACACAGGAGGCAATTACACACACTCACATCTCCAGATGGGATACACCAATATCAAATTCACTACTTCTGTGAGAGGAGATGATAGAGAAGTTCACAAGTATAAGCTAAAACCAGGCAAAGGACTGACTGTGGGATATACCATCAATTGCTCATATATAAATCCAGGTTGAAGCTGAAGAAAATTAAAACAAGTTCATGGGAGCCAAAATATGACCTTAAGTCGGTCCCACCTGAATTTTGAGAACATCTCAAGAACAGATTTGCTGCACTAAACACTGTTGACTGAAGACCTTATGAGCTATGGGCAGACATCAAGACATTCATTCATGAAGAAGCAGAAGATCATTAAAAAGAAAGGTCATAGGAAAGAAAGAAAATATGAGCATGGTAGGCAGAAGAGATTCTGAAACTTGTTCTAAATATAGACTAGCTAAGGCACATGGACAAAATGAAGATGTCAAAGAGCTGAATAGAAAATTTCAAAGGGCAGCTCAAGACAACAAAGTCAAATTTTATAAAGAAATGTTCAAAGATCTAGAATTAGAAAACCAAAAGGAAGAATATGCTCATCATATCTTAAATTGAAACAACTCAAGAAAAAAATTTAAGTCTCAAGTTACAATCTTGAAAGATTCTGTGGGCAAGATATTAAATGATGCAGGAAGCAATAAAAGAAGATGGAAAGAATACACGGAGTCCCTGTACCAAAAAGAACTACTTGACATTCCACTATTTCAGGAGGTAGCATAAACGCAAAAGACACTGGTACTGAATAAAGAAGTCCAAGTTGCATTGAAAGCTTTAGCCAAAAACAAGCCTGCAAAAGTTGATGGACTACCAGTGGAAATATTGCAGCAACTGATGAAGCATTGGAAGCACTTACTCTTCTGTGCCAGGAAATTTGGAAGATAGCTACTTGGCAACCTGACTGAAAGAAATCCATATTTGTACCCATTCCAAAGAAAGGTGACCCAATTTGTAGAACAATATCATTAATATCACATGCAAGTAAAATTTTGCTGAACATTGGTTCAAGCCAGATTCAGAAGAGGACACAGAACAAGGGATATCATTGCTGATGTCAGATGGATCTTGGCTTAAAGCAGAGAACACCAGAAAGATGTTTCCTGTGTTTATTGACTATGTTAAGGCATTTGATTGTATGGTCTGTAATAACTAATGGATAGTGTTGAGAAGAATGGGAATGCAAGTCAACTATATTATGTGCGTGTGGAACCTGTACGTGTGTCAACAGACAGTTGTACAAATAGAACAAGGAAATACTGCATGGTTTAAAATCAGGTAAAGTTCGTTTCAGTTACATTCTCTCACCATACTTATTCCATCTGTACACTGACCAAATCAGAGAAGCTGAGTCATATGTAGAAGAATTCAGCATCAAGATTAGAGGAAGGTTTATTAGCAATCTTTGATATTCAGATGTCACAACCTTCCGTGCTACAAGTGAGGAGAACTTGAAGTACTTGCTAATGAAAATCAAGGATTGTATCTTTCTTTATAGATTATGACTCAAAGTAAAGACCCAAATCCTGACATCTAGACCAGTTAGTATAGTAGCATCATGATAAATGGAGAAAACATTCAAGTTGTTAAAGATTTTGTCATGTCTGGATCCACAATCAATGCTTATGGAAGCAGCAGTCAAAAGATCAAGTGATGCATTGCATTGAGAAAATGTGCTGCACAAGACCTCTATTAAGTGCGGAAAAGCAAGGATGTTTCTTTGTGGACTACGGTGCAACTGACCTAAGCCATGGTATTTTCAGTTGCCTCATGTGCATGTGAGAGTTGGGTATTGAATAAGGAAGACTGAAGAAGAATTGATGCATTTGAATTATGGTGCTGGCTTAGAATCTTCAAAGTTACCATTGACTGCCAAAAGAACAAACAAATCTGTCTGGGAAGAAGTACAGCCAGAAGGCTCCTTAAAGGCAAAGGTGGTTAGACTTCATCTTACATATTTTGGACATGTTGTCAAGAGAGACTGATCTCTAGAGAAGGGTACCATGCCTGGTAAAGTAGTGGGACATCGGAAAAGAGGAAGACCTTTGACAAGATGGATTGACCCAATGGCAGCATCAGTGGTCTCAAACATATGTGGGGATGGCACGTGATTGGGAGTGTTTCGATTTGTTGTCCATAAGGTTGCTATGAGTCAGAACCTACTTGACAGCCCCTGATAGCAACAACAAATTCCCCTTACTAACATAACCCATAGAGACAACTCTTTTCCTATTAGGATTATAACCATATGCATAGAATTTAGGATTTATACCACATATTTCTGGGCAACATAATCCAATCCATCATAATTGGAGACTGGATAATGAAGGCATCTATTAATGGTAAACTTCTTTTCCTCTTTCCTTCATTTTCCCAACTTGATCTTGTTAGCTGTTGCTATCATGCCATTCAATTTCCATTTCTTTCAGTGTCTTGTCTTTTCTTTTTCCCCCAGGTATCTCTATGAAGTTGCCAGAAGGAACCCCTTTGTTTTCGTCACTACACTTCTAAGTGTTGCTACTCGTTTTGAAGATGTGGCTAAAACATGCTGTGAGGAAGAAGACAAAGCCAGCTGCTTTCAAACAAAGGTGGATATTGTGTTTATTTGGTGAAAGGATACGTAATCTCCAACACAACACATCCTCACTTAGTTCTGATTTTTTCACTGTTGAGGATAGTCTCTTTCCACTTCCACTACTTTTAAACCCCTTGTTGATCTAAATGTTCTCAAGACCTGTGAAATACAAATCTCTCTGTCCAGGGTCTCCCTTCTGGCCTGCAGGGTTCCTGGTGGCACTGTCGGTTAAGCATTCAAAGGCTAACTGAAAAGTTGGTGGTGCAAAGCCACGAGCTACTTCCCAGGAGAACATGGAGATTTTCTGCTTCTGTAAAGATACAGCCACAGCAACTCTTTATAGGGTGGCTCTGAGGCACCCTGGTGGTTTAGCAGTTAAACATTGGGCTGTGATCCACATGGTCTGCAGTTCGAAACCACCAGCAGCTCCTCAAGTAGAAAGACTGGACTTTCTATTCCCATAAACAGTCTCAGAAACCCAGAGTGGGTCAATATGAGCCAACATTGACATGGTGGCAGTGATTTTTTTTTTAAATGAGTCAATATGAGGCAGTGAAAAAGAGGAAGACCTTTGACAGGATGGATTGACACAGTGGCAACATAGATGGGCTCAAACTTAAGAATGCTTGAGGATGGCACAGGACGGAGCAGTGTTACATTCTGTTGTACGTGGGGCCGCTATGAGTCAGAACAGACTCGTCAGCCCCTGACAACAATGACAACAGGAATCAGTGTCCACTCAGGAGCACTGGTTGGGTCCTTCTGGTGGTCTCTTCCTTGCAAATTGGAAGATAACCCAGGGAGTGACTTGGCAGGAAAAAGATGATGATCTTACCTTGTAGACTAGAGAGTACTCTTTGGGCTACTCATAAAAGCAAATGTCCTGGAGCAGTGGTTCTCCACCTTCTTAAAGCCTTACTTTCATAGCTATTTCATAACTGTGATTTTGCTACTGTTATGTAATGTGCAGGATGTATTTTCATTGTTGCAAACTGAACATAATGAAAGCATAGTGATCAATCAAAAACAACAATATGTAATTATATATTGTAAAATATTTATTTCTAATGACAAATAAATGAAATTTTGTCTGGAAGCATGGTGTGGCATGGGTAGCAGTCTTCACGCCGGGTATCTGGGCATATGTGGGGGTGTATACATGTGGGTGGACCCGCCTGGAAACGGATAGAGGAGCAGTGTCTCGGTTCCTAAGATCATTGGAAATCTGTGTTTTCTGGTGGTCTAGACGACCCCTGTGAAAGGGTTGTTTGACCCCCAAAGTGGTCACGACCCACAGGTTGAGAACCACTGTCCTAGAGGATATCTTAGGCAATGTCTTAGTAGAAGAGCCCCATGAGATGAGTACCATGCACTTTCCCACCAAGCATAACTGAGTCATTTGGAATACTATCTTACTCTGTAATGTACCAAAAAGTCATTATTTTTTATGATATATGAATTTAGTAAGATAAATCTCATCATTTTTCTTTTTCTGAACAAATATCTGGATAATTTGACATATAGTGTTTTGTTCCAAATCATTTTATGAGGACATCATAACAGTTAATATTTCAGTCATATCAAGCTGTGTTATATAATCGCTACCACAATAATTTTCAAAACTTGTCCTTCCTTCTTGTACTCCTTGATATCGGCTCCCAATTATCTCCTGCGGTTTCCCTCAGGAACCTTTATTTTAGTTTTATTGTCACCAAAGATTCACCTATCCTGGGTTCCATATACCAAAAAATATAAGAAAGATACATAATAGAGAGTTGAGAATGCTACCAAGAATAGCAAAGTGCGGCATAGAGAAGCCCCAATCTGGGGGAACAAACATAAAGACACAGAAAATATTGAAAACCAGATCCAACTCAGTGTTTCCAAAGGGAGATGAAATGATGAGGTTTTAACCATTCAAGTCAGATTTATCATTTTAATCCACTATCATTGTCTCTCCAATGTTCTCTGCCTGGTAATCAGGTTATTCCCACCCCTCACTTATGGTCAGAGGGGAATCTCAGGAGTCTGATTCCCTGTGTAGATCCTGGGAATGTATTTTGGATTCCCACTGTTATCCAAAGCCTTTGACAAACCAAAATTTCACCATTTAAGCTCTGATACTAGTCCCTTCCTCAGTATTGGATGGTATCTTTCCCAAATAAGATAATAGGGTTTTGCTCTTGTTTCAATGGAATTTTTCCTTTCCCTCAGGCATCACCTGTCATAAAGTATTTAAAAGAAAATTCTGCTTTTGAAAAAACTCTCTGTGGGGCATCAATGAGATTTGGACCAAGAATCATAACACTTATGTGAGTTTTATAATCTATATTTTGCCCCTATTTATATTTTCTTGTTTGTGTATCATTTTTGTTTAGTGGTTGATTACTTTTTATGTATACTCTTTATAGTGCCTCAGGGATTTTGAGGTTGTTCTTATTCTACGTGACTACCTCAGACCAATCATTACATAAGGATGAAGAAAAGTAGCCTCAAAGATTAAAGGGTCTACTTCTGGAATTTATCTTTTTCTATCTATCTATCTATCTATCTATCTATCTATCTATCTATCTATCTATCTATCTATCTATCTTCTATAATTCTTGGTTAATTGGGGATCTTAACAGACCCAGGAATTCCCAACCAGGGTTCTAAGATTCCCAAGTGCTTCACACATAACTCATCGATCCTTTCTGTTTGCAATGACTAGACGTCAACCTCACCCTCATTTACAACGATATGGTTTTTTGTTCTTTGATGCTTGATACCTGATTCCTTCTACACCTCGTGGTCACACAGGCTGGTGTGCTTCTTCCATGTGGGCTTTGTTGCTTCTGAGCTAGATGTTCGCTTGTTTATTTTCAAGCCTTTAAGACCCCAGATGTTCTATCTTTTGGTAGCTGGGCACCATCAGCTTTCTTCACTACATTTGCTTATGCACACGTTTGTTTTCAGTGATCATATCAGGAAGGTGGGCACCCACTGATATGATTTTTTGTTCTTTGATGTCTGATACCTGGTCCCTTCTACACCTCGTGGTCACACAGGCTGGTGTGCTTCTTCCATGTGGGCTTTGATGCTTCTCAGCTACATGGTCGCTTGTTTATTTGCAAACCTTTAAGACCCCAGATGTTATATCCTTTGATAGCCAGGCACCATCAGCTTTCTTCACTACATTTGCTTATGCACACATTTGTTTTCAGCGATCGTGTCAGGAAGGTGTGCATCAGATCTTGCCATACTTCTTGTTCAAACTCTTCTAGCAGTTTACCATTCTCTTTCCAGAAATGCTGCTATAATTGGCCAAAAATTCCCCAAGATTGAATTTAAGACACTCACCTCTACTGTGAAACACATTTCTTCCACGGATGGAGGATGTTGTGAAGGGGATGCAGTGGGCTGTATCCATACCAGGGTAAATATTCTGGAAAAACAAGTAAAACTGGTGATAGAAGGAAGCCTTTGAAATATTTCTGTAGTTTTAATTCTGTGGTTTCCTTGATGTGTGGCTACTATGCTTCAAAGGAGTTAGAATGTTAATTTATTGTCAAATGAACTTCTAAAAATGGGATTAAAAAAAGATTATTCTGTATATATTTTATATGAAAAAATGTTATTGAAATAGACTTTGGGGATTTAGAATGCCGAAAATCGATCCATGGCATATTGAAGTGTTTTTGTTTGTTATTGCTTTTAACATAGCAGATGCTAGAATTTAATAGAAATGATCAGAGACTGCCTTTTTAACTATTTTATTTTCAAGAGCAACTTTTTAGATCTTCCTTAGGCTACTTAAAAGCAATGATTTTTACATATGTGCCTACGTTAATTACAAATATGTTTGAAATGGTTTCTGTGTGGGCATTGTCTCATTTTTCTAAGCTGCTACAACAATATGTGCTGTAATGTTTATTGTTTATGAACTACTACAAGTGGATGCCTTGTAGTATCTGGGGGGGTATAATTCAACCAATAACGTTCATTTAATGGTAAATACCTTGGCTTATTTTAAATTGTCCATACACTCATATATAATACAACTTTATTAGAAATATCTTTACTTTTTTTTAGTTGAAATTTGGCTTTATTTTAGGGACTTTTAACCGAGTTTTACTGCTTTTGACCCACAGTGAAAATAGAATGTTCATTAAATAACTTGAATTTTAGGATATTGACACATGTCCACTCCGTTTTATACTTACCCACATCCTGATTAAAGCAATCACACTTAACACTTTTTTCACTTAAAAAATTATTTATGAGGTTGTGGGTTTTACAGTATTCAGTATAATATACGTTAGATATAACTAAAGGTTTTGTGTGAAATTTGAAATGGAGATGAAGGGGTCATAATATGCCCCAAATGAATGCCATCCTGGCGAAATAGAAGGGACTGCATTGTAGGTCATTCAAAACAGAAGGAAATTCTCTCAGAGTAAGAGTTATGTTGTCTAGAGCAGGGGTTGGCACACTGAAGCTTGAAAGTCATATGCGGTTCTTTGGGTACATATATGTGGCTCTGAAATACAATGGAAAAATAATAAAGGATATTATTCAGTTAATGGTGATTTCATTTGCTTGTGAAGATACATTTATGGCTCTCAAATAATTTTTAAATTGCTGTGAGGGACAGGATTGGCTCTTCCATCTCAAAAGTTTGCCAACACCTACCTGAGAGCAATGAGGGTCTTTGGGAAGATATGCAAGGATTTGCAAAGATTACCTCTGGTTATTTGTGGTTTATTGAGACACAGTCTTTGTCATTTACTCCTTCTCACCATTTCCACCCTTAAGTTCATCGCTGAGCTAGAAGGCCACAATAGCCAGGAAGAGTAGCGTAAGGAAAGTCAAGGGGTCTTGAGGGAAGCCAGCATCACTCACCCGAGGCTGGAGCAGAGAGGAGATGAGTGTTGCAGAGAGGTCAGTTTGGGGACAGGACCAGAGCCTGATAAAAAATTTTAAAAAGCTACCCGAATAATTTGATATCTCATCTTCCTTGGGTGGCACACGTTTATGTGAAGGCTGTAATGGGATGATGACTTGAGATAGAGGGAATAATGTTTTCTATTTTGTGCATTATTTATACTTTGAGAAATTCCAAAGAAAAAAGATACAGTTACAGGAATAGCTATGTATATTTGTGAATTTTTCATCAAGTTCTTTGATTTTTGAGGTGAATTTGTTTGCCATTCTTTCATTCACTCACCAAATATTTACTGTCTACTATATGCTCAGTGTGGAGTTTCAAGCCGTAAGAGAAGATATCTAGAATGAGGCGTGGTTATTTTTGGTGGATCCCATGGAAAGCACAGGCTTACTTTTATGGGAAAGAAGCAATATTTAGAATATAAGATGTGGCTATTTCAGAGCAGATAATTAAAAAAAAACCCAATATTTAATTAACAATGAACTAAAATCTAAACTAGATCCTAATTGTCATAATGATGCCATCTAACATCTTGAGAAATAAAGTTTGCAATCACTTGAAACTTTATGTGTATTAAAAGAATAAAAAAATATAAATCAGTGTTACCTATCAAATGAGTTGTAACATTATTTCAGATGTTCTCCTTATGGTTGCTTTTGTACATAGCCATCCCGTTTAGAAAGAAAACCCAGCTTTGAGAGACTTATATGAATAAGTTGTTTTTCATTCTTATATTGAACAGAGCATGGCTGTAAACCATATTTGTACAAACCAAGATTCCATCTCCACCAAAGTCAAAGAGTGTTGTGACAAGCCAATACTGGAGCGTGGTGACTGCATAGTTAACTTGGGGAGAGATGAGAAGCCAAGTGACTTATCTCCAAGAGAAGCTAAATTTACCGACAGCAAAGATGTATGTCAACACCGAGATGCTGACCAAGAGAACTTCATGATTGAGTAATGCGCTCTATGTTGATATTTATAAGATAAACAGAAACAAACTTAATAGATTTGGCCAATTTTAGTTAATATAGCTGGAAGGAATGTGAAACTTTTCAAATTCTTAGACATATAATTTTAAAAATGACTACAGATTACAGCATTTTAGACATTGGTAGTGTAGTTAAATAAGGGTCAAATTGCTAACTGCAAAGTTGGTTCAAATCCATCAACTACTCTATGGGAGAAAGAGGAGGCTTTCTGCTCTAGTTAAGATTGACAGCATAGGAAACCCTCATGGGGTAACTATGAGTCGGAATTGACTGGATGGGTTTATACAATTTTCAGAAAAGGCAGCTGTTTTCTTATAGTGATGACTAACACCTATTGAGTACTTGCTATGGGCCCTGCAAAGGGGTAAGTACTTTATATGGATTATCCACTCAAACTGTCACAACGATCATGTACAATGTCTCCCAGTTTTTCTGATGAGCAAATGGAGTTGTGAAGAAGTATGTGACTCATTTAAGGTCCACGGGAAAAACCTGGCAGAGTAAAGACTGACCCTAAAAAGCCTGGACCAAGAAGTTGCAGGCTTAAGCGCCATGCTGTACTACTGGGGCTTGGAATCAGTGACTGGATTCCAGTCCTGATTAATTGACTCACTGGGGCAAATTAACTCTCTCTGTGCTTTCGCTCATCATATACAAACATCCACATGATAATATCCATTCATTTAAGGTTTATTGGGAATGAGATATATTCCAAAGACTT